CGTATAATGTATGGTGGTAGGGCGTTACACGGACCAGGGTCAAGCGAGGCGTTGAGGAAAATTTGGAAATACGACCCCCCCCCCACCACCCTCCGCCGGAGGCCGAAGTCCATGAAACAACCCTCTTCAAAAGCCGAACTATGAAAAGGTTGAAAAGCTTGTTTAATTCTCCCCCAAAACTGCTCATAAAAAAGCCCTGCTACCCCACCGCCCACAAAAAAATTCGTTTAAGAAGTACAAAAGTGAAAAAGTCAAAGAATAATCATTATTGATGAGTCCTACCAAACGAGCAAACGAGAAACAGACCAGAAAACGACAAACTAGCCACTAAAAATGGCATACCATGACAACATCTGTTCTTTATTTATTTCCTCCACAAAGACTTACCAAATTCTAGTACTACACAGATTGTGGTTCTCAATTTGCACGTAGCCCTTCAGTTGAAAGAAAAGCTTTAAACCGCCTTCGCCAGCTGTGTGTTGACTGGACTTTGGCGTTGACCGTGGAGCAGCTTATTTACTATTGAAATTTGAACAAATATTCAAATGATTATAACTTTCTTCAAATATGACGAATTTTCAATCTGAAAGCAGATTTGGAAGTTTTGTGAAGAGCTTTTTCTAATCAGTATGAAATTACAAAAAGTTATAAGAAATAACAAATTTAGATCAATTAACGAGGAAAATTCGAGACGAGCACGAGTTTTTACACTTTCCGAAGCAACAACTTGCTTCATTTTCGTCAAATTCGAAAAGTTAATATGGCAGACAAAACTAGAAGATTTTCTCTACCAAACCGTTGCTAAAGCAGCTCTATACGTCCAGTATTCAAAAAATGGCCACGTTGAGGATTTTGCAAAATTAACGAGGAAAATTTGTGATGAGTGCGAGTTTTTTTACTTCCTAAAGCCATAACTCCGTTCAAACTCATCCAATCCCAAAAGTAAATACGCCATCATAAACTAGAAGATTTGCTCTATCAAACGCTTACTAGAACTGCTCCAAACGTCCAGTATTAAAAAAACGGCTACGTTGAGGATTTTCGCACGAGTACCGCCGAAAGGTACTTTTTCGCTACATTGGCACTATTTCAACGGCTGTATATCCTTTTAAGGGCGATTATGTACTAAAGTAAGAGCAGATTTGAAATCACTGCTTTTCTCTTTCTAAGAAAAGTGATTGATTAGCGTTTCTCAACTTTAAAGGTTACATGTTTATAAATTTAACCCTGAAGAGTCCGTTAACGCAATGTTGAATGGTGTACACCTCCCTGTAAATGCGCACGGACACTTTCAGAATTCTCTCGATTGTTCCTGAATTGAGGTTGTTTGTCCAAGGAGCCGTAGTTGAAGCGCGCGCAACAACTAGACCCTTTCTCGGATGCGCCGTGTACCTCACATCCCTTCAGATTCGGGGTCTTACTTGAAAGATGAAATATCTCTTGGAAAGCGTGCGAAATTCAGATTCTTTAACTTGTGTGGTGATAAAACACTGAAGTAACTAAGAATTACCGGACGCCTCAGAATCACGAAAATTTTGTGTGGGTGAAATATCATTTTCATTGGGAAATCCTCTGGCCTGGCATCGACTCATCCTTGATATTTGTCTTCCGACGGTGATGATCCCACTGCATCAAAATGGCTCGATCTCTTCCACCCAGCGGGCCAATACGACCCCCCCCCCCCTGCGACGTGTCGAGGATTCCTCAACGCACGCTTGACCCTGTCGAGACCCCGTAAAGGGCTAAAAAGGGAGAGGTGGTCTCAGAATCTTTGGTTAAAGTGCAAACACGACAGTTGACCCAGCGCATGACTCTGATTCCACCCCAAGCGAAGACAATAATGGCGTTCTCTTAGCATTACTGAAGTTCTAGATCATACAAGAGCGATCCACCTGCGAAAACAAATCAAACCTTATTTCTTGTGATCTTTTTCATCAGCCGGAGACCTGTCCATAATGGCACATTTTCTCATACATCGGCTCTAAGCTTAATGAAGAACCAACTTTCAGCCCTCACATGTTGGCTCCGCAGCTCATTCTAGACACATGTCCACGACCGGTGCAACCTTCCTCGCTCAAGAACAAACTCACGCCATGGAAAAGTGCGGTAGGTGCTTTATCTACGTAATAGATACCGGATTTGTAGCAGGGATAAACGATAAGAGTAAGCAATAGAACGACATTCTGTGCTTGGATTGCCATAAAATCCGCTCTATTCCGGTGATTATCCAGATTATTCATCCATGCAGATTATGACACTGCGAAACACCGAAGTCATATTATCATTTTTCTGCAAAAATTCTAGATTTATAGGCAAAGTCTGGGATTAGACTGATTATTGCACGTGCAAGTGACTGTGGATATGTGTGAAGTGTAACGTCAGAAAATAAGAAAAGTGGAACGTTCCTCGACCAGGACTAAAACAAAGCCCGGTCTCTAGTACGGCGAACCTAAATGCTGTTGGTTTGTAGGAGGGGCACAGAGCTATCCCGCGCCTTACATGGGGGTCTTTCAGGACATAGAGCATTTTCTTTTTTTCAAAATGGTTTTCTGAATGTTGTAGAGGCTCATGTGAGGAAGCACAGAACCATGGTTCATTTTCCTGAACTGCCCTAGGATGTCAAAACAGCGGGGAAGAAATGGTCCAAAGTTCGATCCTCCGTGATGACAAACTTTTGCAATTTATGTTTACCGCTCCAAAATTGCGCACAACACGACAAATATCCGTTCTCGAAGATGGGCCATTTGACTGCATCTGGGGCGCCAAAACAATATTGCAAAAATTAATCATCACCGGGGATGGAACTCTGGATCATTTCTTCAGCACTGCTTTGACATCCTGGAGGCGCTCAGAGAAGATGGATCATGGCTCTGTGTTCCTCGCATAAACCCCTACAACATGCAGAAACCCATTTCAAAAAAGAGCGGTCTACTGTCCTAAAGATCCTCCCTCTAGCTTAAAGCGCCTTTGGCCACAATGACCAATCATCCAATTTGTGTGATACCTTCTTCATCACCAATGCTTTTTTGGGGGGGGGGAGGGGGTAAGGCATCCGAACCTTGTCTCCAACGGAAGGCCTATTCCTCTTCGAGTACCTGATTCGCACCATTAGTGTGGCTGATTTAAACGAACGTTCACCGAAATAGGCGAATCTTGTTCAACGGATTTTCAATAGTGAATCCTAGTTGACTTACTCGGACCCACTTTTGTGAATCAGTAATGACTGTTCTTTGAAAGTTTCCAAGGAGCTTAGGCTGTTCTTCAGAATCCCTGAACCAGTTGAGAATGGCTAGAATTTTAAGTCATTCATGAATCTCGGAATTCGAAAAAAATTAACCAAAAATTTGAAACAATCCCCAGAAGGCTCTCTTCGACTCCTGAATCAATAAAGATTCGACATGACCAATTGTCAAGGAAAACAATGCCGGCATGGAATTACTCGGCTGTCGACCAGCCTACCTCCTCTTCAATAAAGCCAGAAAGTGTCGGGTGCAGACCAAAAACCACAACTGACGACGGCCTCCAAGGTAAACCTGGTTAGTAGTGGTTCATGGTGATAACCAATTCTAGCAAATGATAGCTGTAATTAGGGTGCTAACTTAGTTTGGGGGGGGCACGCGGCGGCGCGGCAGTCTGCTCGCCTGGCATGTTCGGAAATCCGTGGGCCAGGGGGAGTGTAGGCAGTCTAGGGGGGGGGGGGTGGGGGCAGTCACTTGACATGCGTGAAAAGCTGGAATGTTCGAGTTTACACTGTCTCGCTCGAGAGAGCCCAGGTGAGCAGACTGCCGCGCCGCCGCGTGGCCCCCCCCCCAACTAAGTTAGCACCTAATTTTCAAACAACGAATACAAGTCTGACAGCTTAATATTTCTCGATGAAAAGTAATTTGTATTTCCCGGGACCGCCAACTTGTCGTAATATGGGCTATATCGATACTTTCGGTGCTTTTTGAAGAGGAGGTAACTATCATCGTGCAGCTGTTGCAAGTGCTTCCTTCTGTCTCAAGCCTTTGCTGCTGAAACCTTTTGTGGGGAGTTCGAATACTAATTTCGACATGTCATTTCGGGGGATAAATCGTCTCTTGACTGAGGCTCTATATATGGGGAAATGGTGCTTACAAATCCGTTCCTAATCTTAATTTGTCTTCCGTTTCCCGGCTTGGCGGCGCAGTTGCAGGATCTGCCTGTCCTTGTGAGGGCGGTCGCCACCTTACTTTAGTCAAGTATTTTCTGCTTGACTCATTCAGGGGGTTCTTCCTGAATGACGTCTCTCCCGCATCTGCTTTTGGAGCTTCCACGCGTATCATGTCGTCGCCATATTTTTGTGATCCATCGGTTCTCTGGACTTCTTAGCACGTGTTCATACCATTGCACGCGTTGCTCTACCATGGGCAGGGGTCGTCTTATGTCAGTTCCGACATTCTCTTTTCTTCTTTCTTGAACACTGTCCAGTGGCGTCCAGCCGAAAGATCGACTCAGAATCCTCGCTTCGGCTTTGAATTCTCTTGGGAGTTGGAAAATTCGTACGGCGAAAATCTGTGTTTCGACACCTGCTATTCTTGGGATCTAAATAAGGAAGAAAAAATGCCAAAACTGGAAGTTCCAAGAAAAATTCATTGCTCTAATCGAACCTTGCTCTAACCGCTTTGACCGCGCCTTTTTCGCTCAAATCAAAACCATTTCAATTTCGCACAAATTGAGAATAGTAAGGTGGTTAACCTTTATGCTTTCATCCTTGCCCCTCGAGAATAGTCTATGAGATTCAAGTTATGTGCATGTAAACAAAAATAACGGAAAATAAGGTTGAGGACCGGCGCGATTTCAGCGATATCGCTCTGACCCTATACGCAGATGCAGCCAAAAGGCGTTCTGCCAAGACGTTTTCAAATACTAGATAATATTAATAATCAGCTCTTCCTGCATTAGGCTGGATATTTTAAATATGTCTGATTGCACTGCAGAAAGGATGCATTAGCATAACCAATTTTGGCTGACAAAAAAATGTATTTTTCAGTCGCAGCAAGTAATCGACACTCTCAAACCGGAATGTGTATCGGAATTCCGAGGAAAACTCAACTTCTCGGTGACGTTCGAGAAAGAAGTCAGCACTCTCCATATCCACCTGCTCGAAGCAGTCGATCTTCCCGTTAAAGATATTACAGGCACGTTTTTGAGAGCTATTCTACATTGCTTGGCGAAGGATTTCTTTCGATCTCGAACAAACCTATATTTAGAAAAACTTCTGCGAATTTTTATCGTAACTGGAAGTGAGATTGAAACTCGGACAGCTCCGTCGTAGCGATATATAGGATTCGGCCCCTGAGGGCAGAACATAAGTTCCGAAATTAGAGGGGTGAAATAGGGGCTGGACAAGCAAGTATTAGAGATTTTCGAGAAACTATCCCATTCAAAAATTTCGTAGCAAAAATTGAACAACATTCCGCTTAATTTTTATCATTATTATTATTTGATAACTAGCATTACTCTCCATAAGACGTGTACAGGCGCTTCTACTCAACACTGTGGAGATCATTAGGGATTAAGGAGAAGCCATAAAAATATGCTGTATTGATCAGGAGAATAGCAGTTATAAGATTTTATATCGGTTGGAAAACTCCACTTACTTTTCTCTAACCCCCAACAGCACGCATCAATCTTTTGGAAACGAAACCCCTGACAGAACCAAACTGCGCGTCTTGGCCAATTATCAAAATTTTACACTCACCGCCCGCCCCCCCACTCCAGTCGGTCTCGCATTACGCGTTCCCCAACCGTTCTCCCGCCATCGCATCGACTTATGGGTGTTTTACTGTTTGATTCTGCTACCACATGACACACTTCCCCACCGCAAAATTACCTTACGAAAGTGTTGTTGAGTGTGCTCCCCATGTAAACACGGCCCATTCCTTTTCATCAAGGAGGAATCCTGTTAAATCACCAAATGCGGTCTCCTTCCTTAAAATGGCAGATACGATCTTACAGTCGGGATCGGTCGAATGCTGGGATGACCCTTTCTTCCAAAAGGGTCATAGTGAACAGGGTCCTATGGCTTCGTTCAATCCCTGCTAACATTGCCGTGAGAACTGCCTTCCACAATTCTATATGGTCGATGGTAATCTTAATGCCCACTCTAAAGTATCAGTGTGTGATCGGCGATGTCATGTTGATCTTTCTAAGAAGCTTAGCTACATAGTTCTTTTAGAGCATTCATTTCAGATTTCTCTAAGTACTACTGAGTTCCTTTAAGTACGATATAAGGAGATGAAAAAGGAGTTAAGAACTGACTCACATGTATGGTCTAAAGATCAGGAACCATAGATTTGTTAATAATAGAAGAGTGACACCAGCATTGACAACGTATGTCACGGCAATGTATCCGACCCAATCAGACCCTTCAATGGCTCCATGGCTGGGCATTTCATTTAAGAAAGTACTCTGTACTAATTAAATTGTATTATAAGGTTATCGTGGTCTTTTTATCCTGCAGTTTCAATTGTTTTGTTAAGATAGTAGGGCTACCGTCCTCTTGACTAACCACAGCCTTTTCTATTGTTCGCCTTTCTAGGCGTGTCAGCTGCACGCACGAATAAATAAATAAATAAATAAATAAATAGCTAAATAAATAATGTTATAAAGTGGGGTAAAGGAAAGAAGGGCTCCGCACTGCGTTGGGGCAGTGGCGCACCGAGGCTGGCAATAAAGGTGTTCAAAACGCACAATAATGAACAATAACGATATCAACGGTTTGAAGGTCGTGTTGAAAAAAATAAGCCAGTGACTCGATTGAATAATTTTGAAAAAGTTTGTAGCGCCAACATCTTGGGTCTTTTCTCTGAAACAGGCCTCTCGTGTTCCCATAATTCTCAGGAAGGAAGTAATCTCACAATATTTCTATAAAATTATCCGACCTATTTCTAGGGAGTTCGGATCCATACGTGCGCGTTTTTCTCATGGAGGAACCGGCAAAAATGGAACGCACCAAGGTTCATCGTCGGAATCTGAATCCGAAGTTTCAGCAGACTCTTTCATTCCCAGGTATGCATATTCATGATAACAACGTAAAGTAGCGGTCGAGAGCCATCGTCAGAACAGTTTTTCGTGCATTGTTCTCTGTCATTAGCCCCGAACCTTCCCTAAAATTAGTATGTACAGGGGTGGTCAAAAAAGACACTTTGCTTGTGACGCATATCAGCAAGCTTTACTCGCAAAG